TCAAACTTTTGGTGTCGATCATTCGATTTCATCCTGGACACTACAGAAAATGGGCTTAAAGTGTAAAAAACCAAACTTCTCCTTTAAGAATAAACCTGAGAAAGAACCTGGTTGGTCATGGGAAGAAGCTGTCTGGTCTACAAACACCAGCCTGCAGGGAAATGTGTGGCCTTCAGAGAGAAACAGACTGAGTGAAAACTTTTATAGTGAATAAATATGATAAATAATATATGATGGAGAGATAAAAATGTTCCGACATCATCGGTCCTGCAACAGAAATCTGCTCGACCCCTCTGGGCGTCGGGTCGGCGGTGGCTCGGCCCGTCATTGAGGTCTACTGTGGATGAAAGCAAGAAGACCCGGTTTGGTTCTGCTGAGATGTAGGATTCATTCATTCCCTAAAGGTTCTGGTAACAATCGGTACCTTAGTTCCACAGAACCTGCAGAACATCTGGAGAAGCAGATGTTTGATGAAATGAAAGCTGCTGGTTCTGCAGGAATGGTCTAGAGCAAAAGCTGAGCCTAGTCCAGGTCCGACTGGATTCTAGACGGACTCTGCTGGTTCTGAAGCGAGGACTGATCCTCCGTCATGGTCTGTGCTTTGGACTCAGCTGTGTCTCTCTACAGGGGCGCCAGGCTGATTCCAGATGATGACCAGATCTTCACAGAAGTGGAGCTGAACATGTTGGAGAAGGTCATCAATGAAACCACGGTAGGTGGAGCCACTGGAAGGGTGCGGGGCTTCCTGACCAGTTCTGGAGTAAAGCTCAGTAGTTGGACCAAAGTTCCCCTGAAGAAGGAAGGTCTAAACACCAAATGTTTCTGTTTCTGTTCTGCTTCTTTGTTCTTCAGACCTGGAAGAACGAGACGGTGGCGGAGCAGGAGAACCGCTCGCCGCACCTGCGACCCGTTCTGCTGTCCAGAGATATTGAGTCCAAGCTGGCTCTGCTGCAGCGGGAGATGAACTACCTGCTCAACAAGGCCAAGTTTGCCAAACCCAAAGCTAAAGCTAAAGCTAAGAACGAGACAGGCACCGACGCGGGCAGCAAGGCCAACGCTACGGCAGAGGAGGAGAAGCTGGCTCCTCCCACCCAGACAGGTGGGTCACCTGCAGAACCTCTCTGGTCTCCACCCCGTCCACACCTGACTGCAGAGGATGTGCTTTGTTTTCTGCAGCAGAGAGCTCCGAGGAGCAGCCGCCGGGTGAAGCTCCGCCCACTGAGGAGAGTGCTCCTGACACAGCCTCTGACAGCCAATCACAGCCCTCAGAGGAAACCATCAGCAAAGGTTAGTTAGCCGCCATCTTGGTTCAAATGCACTCATCCCCACATGACAGGGATGGAAGGAAACCAGACTGAATGAGGGCTACGCTGACCTCCTAGTCTCCATTAAACCAGTCCGGTCCTGACGAGTCCTTCAGACCAGACTGAATGAGGGCTACGCTGACCTCCTAGTCTCCATTAAACCAGTCCGGTCCTGACGAGTCCTTCAGAGCAGAAG